CCTTCAAAAACTTCCTAAACCTTCTTTTTAGAATATTTAGAGCATTTGCAGGCCTGTGACAAATAAAAAGTTCTGAACACTTTCTTATTCACTTTCTATTTTTGATACTGGGGATTGACCCCAAGGGAACTTAACCACTGAGCCACATCCCCAGCCATTTTTAAATATTTTATTTAGAGATAGGGTCTTGATAAGTTGCTTAGGTCCTCAGAAAATTGCTGAAGCTGGCTTTGATCTCACAATCCTGCTGCCTCAGCCTTCTGAGCCACTGGGATTACAGGAATGCACCACCACACACCCCACTCTTATTTACTTTTAAAAGTTAAATGCCATTCATCTTTTAGAATGTAAAATTTCTCTCTGGTAGCAGTGATTAATAAAATTACTTGTTGTTGTCAATTTCATTATTTTTAACCTCCTATCCAGCTAGCCATCAAGCAGTTCCAAAAGCCAACAATCTAATTAAGTGAAGATTCAACAAAGTTTAACAATTACCTAGAGATAGTCTGGAAATAACTTACAGGACATAGATGGGAGAGGCTCAGATCCTCTCACTTCCCAATTGAAATGGCTGCCAGCCAATCACAGAATAACTTTGAAACTATTTATCATTGTTTACAAAGCATGTCTGTCTCTGCACTACTTATTCATCAGACCCACACCCCTCTCTTCTATTCCAGTCACACTAAACTGGTACTTGTCTTTCTGTGGAAATAATTTTTTCTCCATCACCCACTTTTCATTCAAATACTAATATAGGCTTTCCTGACTAGTTTGCCAAGTCTGGGACAAGAACTATGATAAAACTGAATTCAGAGGCAAAATGTGATGTAAAAATTAAATATTACTCTCTATTTTTCTCTTTTTATTTCAGTCTTTTATTGTGCAACTCCATTATATTTTTAAAATAATGTCACAATCATAAATACTGCCAGAGTTGTCCCAGTTCAGCATCCTGAAATCACAAATAAGAGAGTGCTTAGAAGTAATGAGGAAGGAGATGCTTAATTGAAGGGCCACTAGGAAAAGGTAATTACATGGTTTGAGATTACCTCATCATAAGATATTCAATCCAGTGAAAGCCAGCAATTTGTAGGCAATGTTGTATTCCTTAAACTGTGACACTTTGAAAACTATAAAGTAAATGTTCTCAAGTTATCAGCTAGAAATTGAGAAAACGGAAGTTTCCATTTTCCTTTGAGCATTGGTAATAAGAAAAACTGGGAAAGTAAGAAAAAGGCAACATTTAGGCAAGGGACCAAGGCTCACAGTAGGCCCCTGTCCATCCCGCCACCACCTACAGACACCCCCAGGAGCTCAGCCTCTGGCACAGGACTGCCCCTTCCTACCAGAAGACTATTTCTGGAGCTCAGGCCCAGACCAGATCTGCCCTCACCAAATTGCGGGAGACCCAGGTCCAGGATCTACACTACAAGAAAGGAAGACACATAGACAACATTAAAAAAAAAAAAGGGAGGAAAGTGCCCCAAACAAACCAGAATAGTACAATGACAGAACCCATGAACAGCAAAATTGATGAAATATCAGAGAAGGTATTCAGAAGGTTCATAATTAAAATAATTTGTGAATTAAAGAATGACCTAAATATACAATCTGGAACATAAAGTTGATCACACAGTGAAGATAGTAAGAAACCATGAATGGAACATCTAAGAATTATGGGACAGCATCAAAAGACCAAATCTAAGAGTTATTGGGATAGAGGAAGGCACAGAGTTCCAAACCAAAGGAATGCACAATCTTGTCAATAAGATAATATCAGAAAATTTCCCAAGTAGGAAGAATGAAATGGAAAACCAAATACAAGAGGCTTACAGGACACCAAATGTACAAAATTACATCAAGGCACATTAAATGAAAATGCCTAGGGTACAGAATAAGGATAGAATCTTAAAAGCTGCAAGAGAGAAGAATCAGATCACATATAGGGGGAGACCAATTCGTATCTCAACAGATTTTTCAACCCAGACCCTCAAAGCCAGGAGATCATGGAACAACATATACCAAGCTCTGAAAGAAACTGAATGCCAAGTAAGCATCTTATATTCAACAAAACTAAGCTTTAGAGTTAATGATGAAATAAAAACCTCCCACAATATACAAAAGTTAAAAGAATTTACAACTAGAAAGCCCGCACTTCAGAACATCCTCATCAAAATATTCCATGCAGAGGAAATTAAAAACAAGGATGAAAATCAGCAGAAGGAGGTATTACACTAAAGGAAAACCTAATCAGAGGAGAAACCAAGTCACGTTAAATACAAAAATAAACAAAAATGACTGGGAATACAAATGAATACAAATCATGTCTCAATAATAACCCTGAATGCTAATGGCTTAAACTCACCAATCAAATGACACAGACTAGTAGATTGGATTAAAAAAAAAAAAGCTCCAATAATGTGCTGCCTCCAAGAGACTCATCTCATAGGAAAAAACATCCACAGACTGAAGGTGAATGATTAGGAAAAACCATACCACTCACATGGACTGTGGAAGCAAGCAGGGGTTTCTGCCATCATATCAAATAAAGTAGGCTTCAAGCTAAAGTTAATCAAAAGGGATAAAGAAGGATACCACATACTGCTCAAGGGAACCATACACCAACAAGACTTGACAATTATAAATATATATATATGCCCCAAAGGAACATCTACGTTCACCAAACTCTGCTCAACTTCCAAGAGTCACATAGACCACAACACAATAATTTTTGGGGAGTTTAACACACCTCTTTCACCACTGGATAGACCTTCCAAACAAAAGCTGAACAAAGAAACTATAAAACTCAATAATACAATCAATAACTTAGACTTAACTGACATATATAGAATATTTCACCCTTCAATAAGTGAGTACAGTTTCTTCTCAGCAGCACATGGGTCAGAAATGATAGTGGAATGTGATAGACATTATTATCCAAAACATGTATAAAGACACAAATTGGTGTGAATATACATCGTATACAACCAGAGATATGAAAAATTGTGCTCTATACGTGTAATAAGAGTTGTAATGCATTCCGCTGTCATACATAAATAAAAAAAATAATAATAAAGATAGCTTTCATAAGAAAGGGTACAAAATAATAATTTTGGAGTGTATTTGTATGCTTCAAAATACTGTTATTTTATGTATATACTCAATAATTTGACTGGGTATAAAGTTCTATTTGAAATTAATCTTCACTCAGGATTTTTAAGAAACTACTCCATTGTCTTCAAGTTTCTAATATTATAATTGAAAAGCATTTATAAAAAAGCCAAAAAAAAAACAGCATACTACAAGGACACAACCACATCAATGTTTATAGGAGCACAATTCACAGTAGCTGAATTGTGGAACCAACCTAGATGCCCTTCAGTAGATGAATGGATTAAAAAAATGTGGCATATATACACAATGGAATATTACTCAGAAATAAAAGAGAATAAAATCATGGCATTTGCAGGAAAATGGATGGAGTTGGAAAAGATAATGCTAAGTGAAGTTAGCAATCCCAAAAAACTAAATGCCTAATGTTTTCTCTGATATAAGGAGGCTGATTCATAGTGAGGTAGGAAGGGGGAGTATGGGAGGAATAGATGAACTGTAGATAGGGCAGAGGGGTGGGAGGGGAAGGGAGGGAGCATGGGGTTAAAAATGATGGTGGAATGTGATGGTTAGAATTATCTAAAGTACATGTATGAAGACATAAATTGGTGTAAATATACTTTGTGTACAACCAGAGATATGAAAAGCTGTTCTCTATATGTGTAATATGAATTGTAATACATCCCGCTGTCATATATAAATTTAAAAAATGAATAAATTTTAAAAAAGAAAAGAAAAAGGAACCATGTTTCCAGGTTTGAAGTCATCTAATTAGTAAAGTTCATCATTTTAATATATAGATATGTATCCCTAGATACTAGAGTAGAAAAAAAATTGAAATTTTGAATAGTAATCTCTACTATGGCAATTCTAAATAAAACCCCTTTAACTCAAACATTACAACATATTCTAAATGGATACATCATATAATTAATATATTTTTAGGGTGATAATGCTTCCATCTTTCTAAACTAACATGGGACTTTATATGTGTATATAATATATAAAGATGTACATTTATAAATATTGCATATATTACATATACATGTGCACACACACACACACATCCATATATATGACATAGTCCACAAAGTCAAGAAAGTTCATGACTATGTATATATGTGCGTGTGTGCATATGCACAGATATGAATGTATCTTCTTTGATATACATAAAAGTATATATTATATATATATATATATATATGTTCTTTTTTTTTTGCAGTAGTGGAGATTGAACCCAGAGCCTTGTGTGGGCTAGGCAAGTGCTCTGCCACTGAGCTACATCCTCAGCCCCAGTGCTTTTGACTGAATTTTTTCAAGAAAATAAAACTGAAAAAATAAATTAGCAAACTATAAATTATATATTTTATATAAGTTTTTTAGCATAAATTCATTATAACTGATAGTTGTTAACATATTTCTAAAAGTTAAATAGGGATATATATACCACAACAGTTAAAATACCAAGATAATATAAATGGAAGTTATAATTATAACTTTATAAACTATTGTTAACTCTAACTACTACTATAAATATAACTATGCAGTATACTAAAGGGATTTATACATGTGACCAATGTTTACCATTTATTAAGGTACAATGTTTATCATTTATTAAGGTACAATGTTTACCATTTATTAAGCTAGGAGCTCCTTTAAAGGTAGGATCTCCTTTTAAAAGAGTGCCCCTAAAAATTTCTTAAAAATTATGTAAATATGAAAAAAATTGGAAGTGAAATTTGTTCATATATGTATGATGTGTAAAAGTAAGTGACATTTTTAGGAAAAAATTATAACAGTTCCAGTAGACAATGCATTTCCTTTTACAATTTCTATTGCTTTATAATGATATATTAGTGGGTTATATTTCCCACTACTTCACTTACCTCCACATCTTGGAATTGGTCCACTCCACATTACTTTTCCATCCATCAGAATACATGTAATTGTTTCTGTTCCCTGGGTTTTTATAAATCCTTCTTCACAAATAACTGAAATTGAACTTCCTAATTGAAAGTTGTCCCCAAACCGCCTTGCATTAATTGGTATTCCAGGATCAGGGCACTCATTGTGTCCAAATGCTTTTTAGAATAACAAACAAAAACACAAAATAAATATGAGAAAGGGCAACCTTTGTATATTTTGGGTGATTAAAAATAACTCATAAGGAGATTGTATTTATTTCTAGAAAAGACTTTTATTTATTTATCTTTTAAAAATTTGGAGGCTCTCCTCTGACAGATTGCTTGTGATATGTTAGAGGTGTAATGGTTTTAAAATACAAATTATACCTTAAGATTATTAAAATTTAAAATATAATTATTTCTGTTTATATATGGTGATCCCCTAGGCTAAGTTCATGCAAATATTCCCAAAATATAAATTAGTTAGAATCTCAATTAATATAACTTCCGAGTAAGTTGACTATATCTCACAGGAAACTTCTGTAATTCACTCTGTAAGGAACAGAAAGAGGGTCTCATTGTGATAATTAAAGTGAAATGTTTCAATTATAGAATGGAAGTCTTAAAATTTCTTTTTAATTTTTCATGACTTTTACTTTCTACCATCCAGGAAAAGGGAAGAGACTTAAGTCTTTTACAATTACCAACTTCTAGGCATTGTAATAATTTATTATCTCATTTAATATTGAGGTCATCTCGATGATAAAAGTGTTACCATTACTATAAAAAGTAACGTTAAACTCAGAAAAAGTCAAGTAACTTTCCTTTGGTCATAGAAATAAAGCTTGATAGGGTTGAAATGTATCCTGTTCTGGCTTTTGACAACACCCTATAGTCTTTTTTTCAACACCTTATAGTCTTTTGGTTTGTCTCTTTTCTCTCAGAGTATGAGTTCTTCAGCTGAGGGTCACTACCTTATTTTACCTTGTTTCTCACATGTTTCAAATTGCCAGAGGTTATAGATTACACAAAATTTTTCATCCAATTTTTCATTTCCCTTAATTCATGTGATGACCAAATTTGTACTATAAATCTTTAATTTATCTTAATATTATTTTCTATATATTAACAATATGATAGCAGATAATACAATTATGCAATTTCTGAATACCTTCAAATGGATTAGTGAAAAAATTCAAAACAACTACATTTACTCCTACAGTATAAACTAATTTTAAATCATAAAATATGTTTTATATGTTAGGCCCTATTAATATCACTAAATCTGCAAGCCCTTTTCCTACTCAATACCAAATAGTTCTAATTTAGGTTGTGTTAGATACTATGTACTCTGTGATTATTATGTACATGCATTACCGTGTTTACTCCTTACAACAATCCAATGTGGTTTTACTGATGTAGACATTGTGGACTGTGGCTAAGTTATGAAACCTAAAAATGTAGTAAATCCAAGATTTGGACATTTATAGTTTGATTTTAGAGTTGATACTCTTAATAACTAAGGTGTTTTTTTTTTTCCGTGTTGGCTTTGGTAAGTGAGTTTAGTAATCCACTGCCCCAAAGTTAATGATTTCCTTCCATATTTTGCTTTGGTGTCCTTTGATATTTCTTTGAATTTATAATTTTTTGCTGTCATTATCGATTTAAAGACTCCTAGTGGTTTATGAATATCTTGAAGGAAAATATATTTTCCTTTAATATTCATATATAAGTAACAACCAAATGTGTGATAAACAGTAGGTTTGAGTTTATGATAAAGTTTAATGAATAAGCTAATATATTGGCTGATAAATAATGACATTTGAAACATATTTTCTTAATAGTAGGACTCTCACAAAGAGAAATAACATATTTGGGGCTAAAATGTGGTTGGAAATCAAAGATCAAATGATCATCATTGGCAAAACTAGGGACTTGCTCAAGTTTCCTTATTTGTGAAACAAGAGAACTGGTTTGCTTGATTCTTTTGCAGTTCTAATTTGTAAAAATATTATATGGAAAAATAAAATCCAAAAAACTTACTGTTGTAAGTAATGTTGAATCCACGTCCTGACATTGAATGGTCAGCTTGAAATTCCAATCGAAGAATATGACTATTACTTGTAAGATGGGAAGGCACCTCAGCCCCAGTAAAGGTTCCAAGAATTGGGGAATCTGGAGAGTCACCATCTTTAACAGCAAGAAAGTCAAACTGGGATTCCAGATCAAAGTCATTGAAAGAAAGGTGTATCCGACTTCCTGGGTCAGAGATTATTGTCCAGATGCAATTTAAATTATTTCCATAACCTTCTGGGTAATCAGGAGAAAGAACTGTTCCCATAGGTGCAGTAAAGTTAGAGAGACAAGGAACTGGTAAAATGAAAAGATTAAAGAATATAGTAAATAATCAAAAGTAGTATTTGATCTTATTTTGATATATCTTGCCATTATAATAATCAATTAAAAGGTGGATAAAAATATAAATTACCTTATAAAACAGAAAATGTTGTCATTTTTACATATTAGAAAAGGCAACTACTATTTTAGGTGAATTTAAGAATATATCCTTAAATATGCACAAAAATAATTTGCTTAATAGCAGCAATTTATTTTGATATTTATCATGTTTGAGTTAGTGGTTTAGTAGTGATTGGGCTTAATCTGTATTGCAGCTATGTTTGTTTTGATTATTTTTCTTCATTTTTTCCTAACAAAAATTTCAAACCATTTTATATTTGAGGGTAAAATAATATGAAAGTCTAACTTCTCTTGAAAAGTTAATTTATTCCAGTTTCCTCCCACTTTCTGAGCACACACATAGTCTTTCACTGTTTTTCTTGCCTGAATCCTGGAATCATTTAATTCTATAAAGTAGGATTTAAATTGGAGATTACAAAACTTTTTGTAAAAAAAACAAACAGTAAATGTTTTGGCTTTACATGATATAACTCCTTAACTCTGCCATTATAGCATATAGGCAATAAATTGGTAAATGAAAGAACATGATTTATGTTTCAATAAAACTTTACTTAAAAATCCCCCATAGCTTCAGTTTGCCCTCTCCTATCTTTATGATCTTTACCTGGGTCAAGAGCCACTAAATTCATCACCCTAACACCCATAACCATCATATAAGTAGAACTCTTTATATTGTACTTTAAATTCATGATTATGTCAGGTAGAGTTTTTTTTTCTGTAAATTCCTTTGATCCATTGTTATATTTTCATCAGTAGAACTTAATATTATGCTTTAGTTTCCACATAAACACTTTGTTTTTACAAAATTCTCTTATTTATTTCTGAATATTTTAATTAACTATGTCAATATGTTAGAGAATGTTCCCAAATAAATTAAGTTAGAATCTTTATTAATTTCCCAAGGAATTTGTATATAATTCACATACTTAATATAATGTCTTCTCACTCTGGAACTTGTCATCTTTAGTTTTTACTTAAAATTCTCCCTTGCTTTAGTTTTATAATTTTTTTCCTTGAGTTATTAAGACGTGTAAATATTGTTCCTGTGTATTTTATAATTTATTCTTCTGATTAAATTCTCTTTCAAATACATTTTTAAATCAGCTATTGCTTGTATATGAAAACGTTAATTGCCACTTTTTTTTGTTTGTTTGTTTTGGTACTGGGGATTGAACCCAGAGGCACTCAGCCACCTAGCCATAACCACAGCCCTTTTGTGTATTTGATTTAGAGACAGGGTTTCACTGAGTTGTATAGGACCTCACTGAGTTGCTTAGGGCCTTGCTAAGTTGCTGAGGCTGGCTCCAAGCTCAGGACCCTCCTGCCTTAGCCTCATGAGCTGCTGGGATTATAGGTGTGCACCACTGTGTCTGGCTAGTTGCTATATTTTAATAATTTATCAGAATATAGAGATCAATTTATTCTTAAAATGGTAAAAAAATTTTCTTTAGATATTAAGAACTTTTAAAATTTGTCTTAGCAATATTTCCATTAAATGTACTTTAGCATATATTAAAATGCTTTCAAAAATAATTTATTTTTTACTGTAACATATTACATTTATAAATTGTCTAATATGAAATCAACATTATCTTCTTAGAAGAATATTTAAAATTAAAGACCATTATTGAAGTCTTTTAAAGTTTTACTAAGCTTTAGATGATGTGAACAGAATCAAATCAGACTCTTCTAATACATTTCATTCTCTGACAAGAACTTTAGAGGTGATTTTGACTAGGCATGAGACCATGCCCTACGCTAATGGTTCATGTAACGGGATCTTTGCACACTTATTCTCCTCCACTTCCTGAAGAGCAAGCATAATATATTATAATTAGGGAAATTTCTGCCATATTCTAAAAACATTCACTTTATTGTAATGAAATTATAATAGTATTTCATTGAGCCACAAAGTGCATCAGTAAGTTATACATGTTATGTTTTTGTTGTAGTTAAACCAGAATATCTTAGTGTTTTTGGAAAATACGTTGTTTTAATACAAGCATATTGTATATCATAAACTTTAATGAATTTTATTCTATGCAATATAAATAAATAGTACTTTATACATTAGTGTGAGCATCTAAATACAAAAATAGGTTAATACATTATACATAGAATATAAGCTTTAAGTATTTTAAGTGTTTTTGATTGCAAATAAACATACTATCTTGTTAAGATAAATGAGTCTATGAGAATTAGTTCAGATGTATAATTTCCATAAGAAGTAGCTATCTATAAAGTATAAAATGTCACCAAATTAAATGTAATAAGAACACATGTAGTATATATTTTGCAATTACCAAATGAACTATGTTAACTTTATTTAAATCTGTACTAAAATTTATAATTCAGCATAAGCACACTTGTTAAAGATAGTATCACAAAGTGCTGCTCGTCCAAAAATAATTACACGGTTCCAGCTCTTAGCAATTAATTACAAAAGCAATTATATGCAAGAACAGGGTAACATATGCTGTCTAGAAGCAAAGCATTTGGTACTCACAGATACAGATGGGTATGTTTGCAGACCATTGGTTATTCTCTTGACAAACAATGGATTTCTCTCCAATTAATTCAAACCCAAACTGGCATTCGAACCTTAAAATATCACGATTAGAAAATCCATCACCTTCTCTAATTCCATATAAAGGTGTACCAGGATCACCACAACTTTCTTTTTCAATTTCTGTAAAAATAGAAGATAAAAGTCACCTTCCAAGGTTTGCAGACACGATGCCCATACTAAGAGTTTAGTAAACATGTACTATGGGAAGATAGTTCAGAATGAAGAATGAATATATCCTCCAATCTTAATTTTTTTTCCTTTTGCCACTCTATGAATATGATTTGATACATGATCTTTAGAGAACAATAAGTGTAATTCTCTTGTTTTGTAGGTGGGGACCTGAGATGATTGTAGCTAATGAGGTTGCCAAATGTGTCTCTGGTTCTACAGCAATCAATGAATAGTTCTAAACAACATTTGTCATTCTGGCAATTGCTGGTTGTATTATCTCCCCAAGTACGTGATAACAACAGTAGTCTAAGTAAGAACAGGAATCAATTTTGCATTCGAAATTGCCTAGTCATCTTTCTCAATGAATGTTCATTGAATGAATTGAAGAGTGAAAAATTTCTTTCAAGAGCACCATGAAAACATTCTTTTGAGATGTATCAAAGGACAGTGCAAATATCTGACATGGTTTTTATGAAGCTATGAATGTCAGCAATAAATTACTATGTTGGTTCTTTTGGGCTTCTACATCCCGTGCAACATAGTAGCCCATGAAATTAACTATCTTCAAATAGCAGCAAAAAGAAAAGTAAATAAAAATTTGAAAAGTAAAGCTTTGAGATAAAGTAATAGTCTATTCTAACACTTCAACATTTACACATATCTGGTTTCTGTATAACTTACCTGTACCCTTTGATATCTATTTTTCTAGTTCTTTTCCCATGTTTTTATAATTAAACAGATACATAGAATATGTAATATTATATATGTTTGTATTTAAATATAAAAATACTCCTACAAAAACATATATTGCTTTATATAATTATTAGACTTTATCTTCAGTTATGTCAATATTATTAAAAACTTGGGTTTTTTTTAACCAAATTACGTGTTTTAGAGATATTTTTGAAAACCTTATATCCTTAAACAAAACCATAGATGGCCATAATGATTCCTTTAAAACATGGGATAGCATTTGAGATTTTATTTACACACTTTATTTATGTCACAAGTTATATTGGCCTATATTATTTTCTTATGTTGCTGCCATCCTGTTTTAATATCAAGAGAAGTAGTTAGCAATTTTCAATACTATCAAGTTTTTAGACTAGTTTTTGTAACAACAAAAACTAGAACTGTAAATATTAGAACTTTTCCAAAAAAGCTAGCCAAATTTGGCATAATTTTGAGGTAACCATCTAACCATCATTTCAGTTACTTGTAAGGTTATTTTCCCATTGGACTAGGTTTTGTTTCTTTCTCTCGCTCTCTCTCTTTGGTCCATTATTAGCAACTTATATACCCTAGAAAAGTGAGGTAATAGTTTAGTAGTAGTAGATTTTCTACAAGGTTTTTACATATTACCATTAAAAAGTATAAATTTTCCTCATCCCTAATGTTATTTGTGTTTACTATCCTGATTTTCTTTGTTTGTACTTTTCAAAGGTGTGTCAAATATGTTAATATGTTCAAAGAACCATTTTGGCTTTTGTTGAGCAATTCTGTTATTTAACCATGCTTTCTTTTTGTCTTTTTCTGGATTCCATCTTCAACTCTCTTTTGCATTATTTTTCTATTCGTTTTCCATCTTTTTGCGTTGAAGTCTTGGGGTGCATTTATTAATTTATTTATTTTTCAGCCTTTCTTGTTTCCTAAAAGTAAAACATATTAAGTTTCTAAATTTTCTTCAAGGTATGCTTTGATATGGAGACTTTTATGTTTTACTCCAAAGTAGTTTGTGGTTTCCATTTTGATTTCCTCTTTAACTCATAAATAATTTATGCAATTTTAAATTTACAAATTTATAAAATTTCAATTTATAATTTGTCATGTAGTTTTATCTAAACCTAAATTAACCTTTGTATTGAAAATTATGTTATCATTTCCTAAATATTTACTTAGTTATTTTTGGTTCAGGGAATTTTACCCAGGGGAGCTTTACCACTGAGCTACATTCCCAGCCCTTCTCTCTCTCTTTTTTTTTTTTCTATTTTATTTTGAGACAGGATATCGATAAGTTTCTGAGACTGCCTTAAATTTGTGATTCTTTTGCTTCATCCTCCTGAGTTAGGGGAATTACAAGCATTTGCCACTGTGTGTTTATTGTTGTTACTTTTATTGTTTCATAACTCTGTTTCCTTGGGTGTAAGAAGAATGTACTAAGAGAAAAGTAGAATGAGCTTGATTCTAGCACAACATATTTGAGAATATATTCAACAAATTATAATTATTTTATGTTCATGATGAAAATGTATTGGAGAAAGTGTTTTAGGAAAGAACAAATCTGTTGTATTTGAGATATGGTCAAATAAATGTTTTTATTGATTGCTTTTCTATATCTATGCAGTTTATTTCCACCATGACCTTCACCTTCCCCACTTTCAGGTTCATTTACTCATGTCAGCAACCCAATGGGATTCTGGGGTAAAGCTATTCCCTATATTGATCCATGGCGCCATCTATTTTCATGGCCTTCATGCTGACCTAGAGAGGCCTCCCTCTTGATAACTCCATCAAACACTGTAATGGTCAATTTGAATGTCAACTTGATTGGATTAAAAGATGCCAAGGATTAAGAGGATTATGGGTGTGCCAATGAAGGTGTATCAATAAGGGTATGTCTAAGAATGATTGGCATGTGGAATAGGCAACAAAAATGTAGACACTCCCTAAGCATGGGCAGTATACTGACCAATAGAATGATGGCTTGGATGGAATAAAAGTTGGAAGAATAAAATAGCAGCAGCCATGCAGGCTTGATTCTTCCTAAATAGGTTCTTTATTGCTGCTTAGATCATTTGCTGATGGCCACTGTGGACTATCCAGCTTCTGGTCACATATGCCAACCTAATAAATCCCTTTTTTATAAGTATAGTTCCTGTTGATTCTGTTCCTCTAGAGAACCCTGATTAATATAGATGCTTGTTCTATATCTGGGTATTTGGCTCTGTCGCTAAAATACATTCCTCTGTGGTGATTACTGCAATTTCTCAGGAACATCTGTGGTATTCTTTCTGGAGGTTTCTGGCCCTAGGACACAAAGGCTTCTGTCCCTGGGGGACAATGGCTTCTTACCTGCAGCAACAGCCTACTGGTGGCATTGGTTTATGCATTTTTCAGTCTACCTTTTTGTTTTCCATAAATATCTTTATGCTTATTTATATTTATTTATCTTAGGGACCTTTGACAGCTTTATAACAACTGATGCTTTTCTTTTCTTATTCTTAAGCATTATTATATTTTTGATGTTTTCTATTATTAGGGTTAGGGCTAAGAATGAATGCTTAATCTACTATTTTGAACCAACATTTTTTCATTGTTCCTTAGGAAAACATTCTTTAATATCAAAAGTATATTTTAAAATAGAGGTGTAATTTCAAAGCTTCAATACTCTCTAATATAGAAAAAATATGTGGTAAGTAAAGTAGACATATACCTGTTATGTATCATTGCTTTTGAAATTTTTTTTAAATTTATTCTTTTTAGATATAATGACTGTAGAGTGTATTTTGACATACTATGCATACATGAAGTATAACTTATCCTAATTAGTTTTTCTACCTAGAAGGCAAGTCTGATATCTGAGAAAATAATTAATATCCATAGACAAGTGCTAGAGCTATGCCCCAAAAGAATTATAAATAACAGCCATCATTTACTGAGCTTTAAACCTGTGATGATATTTTGAAAGGATATAATTTAATTATCAAAACAACTCTATAAAGGACGTGTTCTCACCTCTGTTTTATACATGAGGAAACTGAGGGCACAAAGAAGCTGAGTAAATTTCCCAATTTCACATATTCTACAAATAGCAAAATTTATGTTTATTTAAATAAAAAGTATTCATCACCCTGCTATTATGGAGGAATCTTCATTCCCTAGTTATCTATTTATGAAACCTATATTTAGTCTCCATTATGTATCAAAATAATACTAGGTTCTGCTCAGCAATGCTGAGGACCTCATGGAGGATGGTGTCAAAATGATAGGAGAGTGTGGAAAGAGGTCGCAGGGCCAGACAGAAAGTCAGAGAGTGATTCAGAGGTCAGGCTTGCAATGCAAACTACTCCCCCCCTGCCCCCCCCCCCAAAAAAAAAAAAGAATTTACTTAGAGATCTGCAGAACTACATAGATCTCTTTAATTGTGGAGTATGTAGTCATTGGGAATGTGCATTACCAACTCCAAAGTCCCACTAGCCCCCTACCCTTTTTTTGGTGGTACTAGGGACGAAAACCAAGGCTTCATGAATACCAGGCAAGTACTCTACCAATGAGCTATATCCCCAGTCCTAGGTCCCACTTTTGAAAAGCTCCATAACCTCTCACATAAATAACTCTGTAGATTAAGTTCCAACACATAAACCATTGGGGGACAAACCACATCTAAACCATAGCACCAACTATTAAAACTTAGAGAAATTTCTAATTATCTCTAAAGTTTAAGCTATAACCCATCCATAAAATTCACCCTAACCTTAAGAGCACAGTTTGTTGTTCCCTTTTCTGGACTTCTATTGGTCTTGGGATACATCTATACTGGTCCATATATTTTAATATAATCATACACTTGTTCATTTGACTCCTTTCAGGAACTTTATTCATCTTTACATTTCAAATATCTATATAACTGGTGATGGCAAAATTTTATGTTAGTCATGTGTCAGGCAAAGTTGTAGACACTTGTTATATTTAATCCTGACATTGTCCTGTGAAGACCCAAAGAGGTTAAAGTAAGTTGCCTAGTGCCATGCAAATTGTAATTGACAGGCTGAAATTTGAATCTATTCAGCATGGTTCCAGACTATGAGTTATTAAGGAATACACATCTATTCAGAGGCCAGTATTTAATAAATAATTGTATATGTAGGAAGGAAAGAAATAAGAAGACTTAGCATACTAAAATATGTGATTCTTTTAATAAACAATCTAAGCAATCACAAAATTCCATA